ATGTTTTGATATATACAACTGTTTTTGGTTAAACTATTGAAGATAAAACATGTTTTACGTGGTCGAATTTAATCATAAGCATTGACTGTGTATTTTTTTCGGTTCATTGAGGTATGAATCGAAAAACTGATGTGCAAACTTTTGTAAGAATCCGCTACGCGATTCATAGTTTGCACATCGGGTTTCCGATTCATACTTCAATGAACCGAAAAAAATACACAGTCAATCCTAAAGTACACATGTTACATGTGATATGGATGATATGAAATGTATCTCCAGACCCTGGTACCAATATATTGCCCTGGCTGATATATTTGCTGTTCTACAGAGCCACTCAGGTAGAACTCTTCATTGTCCCAGATGTAATTCTCAATGCAACTGGCTTTCATATTTCCACCTAACCTGGGCTGTGTTGGCCTTGTGCCAATACTTTGTGGAAATATACTTGTTTAACATTGAATTTCCATGCATAAAGTATTTTGTGAGGTTGTGTCAACTTATCTAATGTAATCAGTCTGCACTATCACTGTCATTCAAGTGTCCCTACATTTAGGCAGAATAATAGCCTGTCTCAGTCATACATTAATTTCCCTTCTGCCCGGCCCTTATTGTAAAGCTATGGCCCTTATTGTAAAGCTATAGCCCTAATTGAAGCAAGTCTAGATTTTCCACATCTTCTCCAATCTTACTTGGTCTCCTTTTAAGTTTAAATGGAGTTGCTTCTGTTATAAAAAGGATATATTTTAAAGGACAAAAGGTTAGTCCAGCAGAATAAGTACATACTGCCTTCTTGTCATTGAGAAAAATGTCTGGCTCAGGTGTTACTCCGGTGTCACTCAGTTGAGTGGTTGATACATATTGGTGCCATGTGACAGAAGTGAATCTTTGCTGTAAGGAGGCTGATATAGTGTGTCATCATCATGATCATACGCTGCTGGTAAACATCAACCTTTGGTTTATCTGCTCCAAGTGGAATCAACCATGGCCAGAGGTAACAATATGAGCCAAGTCCAGCTACTTCACAACTCATTCAGAATAGGTGTCCATGTTACCATGGTGACATTACTACATTCTGGAGAAAATACTGTGACAACTAGTCCTTACATTTTTCACAAGACTATTAAGGAGCTTATAAATGACCTTATCATACCTCAATTGCAGAATGACGAGATACTGGTCCACATGATCTTGATAAAATACTATGTATCCTACCTGCGAGGGAAATAAATGTCTGAGAGGGAGAATATACACCTTATTATATATCTTATTCCCTGCTGCATGCCTTTTCCTTGTCAGTAAGGGCGGTCGGGTAGCCTAGTGGTTAAAGCGTTCGTTCCCGACATGGGTACAATGTGTGAAGCCCATTTCTGGTGTCCCCTGCCGTGATATTGCTGGAATATTGCTAAAAGCGGCGTAAAACCATACTCACTCACTCCTTGTCAAAAAAAGGCACGTGACATAGCACAAGTTAACCTCAGCTCAATCGAACATCTGTTTTCTATCAATTTTGAATTTGTTTTAATTCTTTCACAATAGCAGATTACATAATGATAAAGTAAGATAAATGCATTGTAACTAATGGGGTTTTAGGCATCCCTCCTTAGGTTTTATACCACTCGTCTCTGGCTCATGGTATATACAGCCTAATGTGGGATGCATAAAACCCCCATTTACCCCTCATAATCCTGCTACAACCTGTAATGTATGCTTGACAGTGAACTGCTGTATTCCTGTACAATGTCAGTTTGTCCTATGCAGATGACCGCAGATATGACACTGTTGTCTGCAACTCTCTGTGCAGAGTTGTGCCCCTTTGCTACCATTATCCCAAGCTCCTTTCCAGCGCGTGACACCTTCGTTACACTCTCGGTAACATCGCTGCCACCAGTGTGGGTGCGGCCATTACAAGAATCTTGAAATTTGGCCTCTAACCCCAAATGTAGTACCGTTTATACTTTTGTTTATGCCTTTGGGAATGCCATCATAGTGAATTTTGAAAAGGTTTATGACTGACCATGTTTTCCAGATGAATTTACTTTGTTGTTTGTATAATCAGATTGGTTCGAGATTGCAGACTGAACATGCTGAAGGAAAATCAACCATTTCTCCCTTACATTCTTACTATATCAATAACATGGTAGTTTTATTGAAATAGAAATTCAATTTGACAAACAAAGAAAGTAATTTAGCAGGGGTAAGTGTATTCGGCGTCACGACAGCTGCATTTGTTTGTAAATGTAACGGTCATTCGGTTGCGAGTTTAACTCCAAGCATGGTTGGGGCCACCTATCACAGTGGGGAGTTTTGACTGGTGGCAGCGATAGTATAGAGAGCTCCGCGAACGGGCTATCGCTGCGAGGAGCTTGCCATTATCCTCTGGTCTGGGTTTGGACTCCAGATTCTAAAAGTATTCAGTTCAGTGAGTCACTCACAGGAAGAATGATAGGCACTCGGTCACACACCCCAAACTTACCTGATCAATGTTACAATTCTCCTACTAGTGAGTCGAAATTTCTTTCTTGTTTTTATCATGTTTATTGTATGGGCAATTGTTTGCAGAACAAGTCATTAGGTTAACCCTGCGTTCACTTACCCATATTCAACTGTGGTCTGACATTTCTTAACCCCTCTGTTCATAAAATGGACTTTTCTTACATTTCTGAGATCGGATTGTATTCAGGGAGTAATCATTATTTAAAAAGGGGAAATATTTTGAAAGATTGTAAATTTGTTAAACATTCTTAACATGTTAACATGCTTAAACATGTTAAAGAGGCTGCAAATAAATTTTATTATCTCATATATGAAATAAACGACTCATTGTCATTGTTGATTGTACACTAAAACATTTCAAGGAGAATAAACCACTCTGGGCTGTGCCCCTCATGGTTTATTCTCCCTGCAGTGTTTTAGTATACAATAAATAACTCCCTTTTGTCGTTTATTTCTTAAATAACTTGAGAGTGTGACATTAGGCCAGACTTTCTTTCTGTTTTGGTTTTTAGATTTTGATAGTGGAAAATTTAGTACTAGGTATAAAAAATATTTATGTTCAAAATGCATCCTTTAGGATTTTTGTAATCATCTTAAAGTTTGATTTGAATCAGGAGGGTGATAAACATGATTTTTTTTATATCTTGGCCTCGTTTGGGTCAATTTAAAATATTGTAGTTCTAAAATCTGACAGCAGCATTTCATTGCTATTTTTATGTTCAAAGTAATCTTTATCGTCAGATGTAGATAAAAAACCTTTTCATTCTGATGTTACATATTTCCTGAATTTTCAGATCCATACACCAAACCAGAAGAAATGTAAGGCCTGTATTAGCATGATTAGTCTGTTATGCAGACCCTGAAACAAATACATCCACAGGAGCCCAGTTGCTAATCTATGACAGTTGGCAAGTCTAGATTACTGCAGTTTTAGTTTCTGAAATTGAATAGATTTTCTGAGCTCATTTTTATTACATTTTATAAAGATAATTTAACAACTGTTTTTGTTTTTTTTGTAAAACATTTTCATTTCAGAGACTAGCTGTTAGTGTCAGCTTTTATGAACATACCTGTGTGACAGAAACATCTCCATCAGCAGGACAGTGATGAATGACACCTGTCACACACACACATCATCACACCACATGTGTTTGTTCCAGGTGTAACCTACATAACGCTAACGATTACTGATCAATGCGTATCATTGCCTGGGGGTGCTGGCTAATTAGGGCAGGGGTAGGATGTCAGTTTACATAACGAACATACCAGTGAGTTGTATGCGAATGATGAGTTGACGTCTTGATGTTGTGGATTACCTTGATGTTGCCTATGGTTTGTAATGTTAATCCAATATTGTGCTGTCAATAATTGCCGATAACTGTCCATGAGGAACTAAGCAATATTTACATTCTGTGCCAGAATCTTTTGAGTCTACTAGCCCAAACAAGGCTTTAAACATCATTTTCAGTTGATTTTAGTGCTATTATATGGACTACTGTTAACTGAGCTTTCTAAACTGAACAGAAATTTACTAGACTCAGGCTTAGGACTAGTGGCACATTAGACTGTATCTACTTATTTGTTGTATTGGTTTGTTGAATAAACCTCCTGTATTTTCTGCAGATGAGAAGTGCATGCAAGGCAACACCCACTGTTGCCTGAATCTTTATGTAGCTGTTATGTTTAGTTGGAACTATAGAAAAGATTTTAAAAGTTTATGTTGTATTTAGTATGTGTTCAGGGTGATAAGAAATTCTACGAACATGTTCAATTAAATGTTCTGTTCATTTCCTCAAATAGACTAGGTTCAGGCCACCGTGGCAGCAGTTTTGAAAATGTCATTTTGCCCTTATTAAGCCATGGCTTGCTTAATATTGTATGATTGTGTAATTGATATGCATTTGGCATCTGCAAACACTGGTGTGTCATCCTTTGATGGTTTCATCATCAGTTTTTTAACTACCTCTGCTGAAGCTGCACTGTTCATATTTGTTCAGGAATTGACATTACAAGAATTGATTAATATCACTGTACATAAGCAGTAAGCAGAGGAACAAGTCGCGCATGATGCAGCAGTTTGCTGTGTAGAGTTGTGTCCCTTAGGCATGACAGAAACATGATTGTGGGTTTGAATTCTAGATTCGTCCTGATAATGATTTTGGTTTGTCAACACCTTACCCATGCTTATGAGTTTTGCCAATGTGGTAAACATCAAAGACCTGTGCTTCACTTCAGGTTTTCTTCCTACCTGTACTGACAAGCCATGATATAACTGAAATACTTTTAAACCAAACTCGCTCATTCACTCTGACGGCAGACCACGATTTCTTTGATTTGGATTAAGTCGGACTCTTGTCAACGTTATTGTTACACAATTTGTGAGAACAAAGAAAATGTTTCTGTAGACCTTACAATATCAGAAGAAATTCCAAATTTATTAGCAATCACGTTTCTTGCTTATTGGAAATGTTGGAAGGAATTATAAAAAGTGTATTTTCAAATTACAGATTGCCTGACAATGTTACAAAGTGATGTATGCCAGATTGACTACCACCATTTACAAGACTGTTGCATGATGGCTACAGTGGAGTGATACCTGCCTCACTATGAGTGTGTGGAAGAGGCTGCAGCGGGTCGGCAAGTCCGCATCCAAGTTTCAGTTCACAGCCTCGTACCAAGAACTTATGGTAGAATGTACCAAAAAATGGTGAGTTTAACCCCTTTTATGTTGACTCTATGTTTAAATGTCAAGGAGTACTATGGATAACAACTTCTTTATTACATTTCATTTCAGGGCTCCTTCTTGCCCGTGTATCAGGGGTCCTGTGAAAAAGAATAAGTTGTAATCCATATTATCTTACCTAACACATGAATGTAAGGTACATGTCTTATGTTCCCCGCTTGAATTGACAATCTATTGCATTACATTTTGCTACATAACATCTGCAATATTATATCGGGAATTAATTATGTAACACACCATTCTCCAGATATTTACGATATTTTCTGAAGGAAATAAATCTAGGTGGATTCAAGTTTGTTTTCTGCCACAACAAAGTGAATAAATGCCTACCTGTGGTACTCTTACCTATTTGGACCAGAGCAAGTTTGCAAAAGAGATTCCTGCAATATAATTAGTTGTGAGGTAAGTTAAATTTTTGTCCACCGGTCCACCGGAAATAGGTTGATGTTCCCTACATGTTAGTTTATGTCCCCTTGGGCTCAGGAACCCGTGAAGATCTGGGGTAGAATAGGTCTTCAGCAACCCATGCTTGCCATAAAAGGCGACTATGCTTGTCGTAAGAGGCGACTAACAGGATCGGGTGGTCAGACTAGCTGACTTGGTTGATGCATGTCAGCGTATCCCAATTGCGTGGATCAATGCTGATGATGTCAATCACTGGATTGTCTGGTCCAGACTCGATTATTTGCAGACCACCGTCATACAGCTGGCAGTACTTTGTGTCTTAACCAGGGGTCCGGAAACCGTCATATGCGCCGGACATGTCCGATTGGGAATCTCAAATGTCCGTTTTAAAATATTGCTTACTGGACATTTTAAAAAGTATTGTCCGGACATTCTTAAATTTTGACCGGACATGATCAACAGTTAGGACTGAGCAGTTTCTGTCTGCAGTTGCAACACAATGAAGATTAACTACACTGACAAGCTTTGTTTGTTTTGATTGCTGTAAATACATCGTACCTACACGATAGTCCAATCGGTCAATCACTGTAATAGGCAATAAACTGAGTTGACACTGATTAATCGAGGATTAATTACTTAGAACATCTTGTTAATTTGAGTGAAAGGTGTTTACAACTGTACATTAATACCTTGCATCATCGATGTACCTCATTATCCTCACAATGCTACGATACGTAACCCCAGACAAGAAGCGAAAGCGTGACGACAGCCAGTCGACCGATGCAGATCAGTCGAGCGGATCTGCCAAACCCTCAAAGTCTGGACGATCATTTTGTAAGTCGTGGCTAACGACTTTCACTTGGTTGACATACAATGAGGATTGGCAGATTTGATTGTTTTCAGTAGCTAGTTGTATATTGAATCTTGATTGACCGCCATTTTGCTTTCTCGGACGATCGATATCCAATTTTTTTATGGTCAATAATTAAGTACAGATGAAAAAAGCATTCAAATAACTATTGCTATCAACGATATTTTAGTATTTGTGATTAAATTATCTGTCTTGTTTTTAAAAAAATCTTTAGTTTAAAAAAACCTTTTCCCGTGAGGTCACGTGATAACCAAATATGGGATAATAGTCTCGATCCAAATGTTACAACGCGTACACTTGAGCAGACTCATGAATATTAATTAGACCGTTCACTATGTTAACAGATCGTTATTATAACAGAAACAAACGTATGTTTTCCATGTAAATCTAAAATGATATTATTTGTTATTAATTGTCCTGTGAATTAAACAATTTAAATTGAAACGATTCATAATTCATCATATTATGAATACGTAAACTTGAAATGTGTGTGAAAAGTCGTACTAAAATACGCTATTTGAAGGGGGCGTGGCCTAAATGCAAATGTCCGATTGGGATTTAAAATTTTCCGGACCCCTGGTCTTAACTATTACTGAAAGACAACGTTGACTGAGTGATTGTTCTCATTCTAGGCAACCCCAGAAGCTCTGTGTCATCTGGACACGCAGAAACCGACGCAAATCTTCACAGGTAATTATACAAGAAATTGTTTCTAGCATCTCAGTTAGGGGGAGATAACTCACTTTAGCTTTATGATACCTATCTCAATATACATGAATGTTGGCATTATGATACATGACAACTTATAATAGTTAAAAATATTTGTGACAAGTATTGCTCTTCTTTATAATTTTTGTATTTACCGTTTTCTGTTTGATGCTCTCATGGTTTCTTAGATTTGCATCCATTCATCATGCACACTTTCATAGGACAGCTGTCTCATTCTCATTAATTTCTGGGGCGGTGATGTACCTGAGTGGTTAAAACATTCGCTCATAACTTGTGATGTTGGTGGAATATTGCTAAAAGCGGCGTAAAACCATACTCACTGTCATTATTACTGAAGAAGACAGTATAGTCAGCTGGTGCTTTATTTACTTGTCAACTTGTTTGCTTGATTTCTCAACAACTGAGCCAGCATGCAGCGTGAGGAAATTATTTGATGTAGGTGTTTTTGTGTGTCTGTTCAGTTGTGCACCTGGAGCCCCACCATGCAGAACCCCCACAAGGGAATGGTCACCTGTAGATCTGTCACATGAGCTTGTGTCTGTCTGTTTCAGTTGTACACCTGGAGCCCCACCATGCAGAACCCCCACAAGGGGCTGGTCACCTGTAGATCTGTCACATGAGCTTGTGTCTGTCTGTCTGTTTCAGTTGTACACCTGGAGCTCCAACATGCAGAACCCCTACAAGGGGCTGGTCACCTCTAGATCTGTCACATGAGCTTGTGTCAGTCTGTTTCAGTTGTACACCTGGAGCCCCACCATGCAGAACCCCACAAGGGGCTGGTCACCTGTAGATCTGTGTCACACGAGCTTGTGTCTGTCTGTTTCAGTTGTACACCTGGAGCCCCACCATGCAGAACCCCTACAAGGGGCTGGTCACCTGTAGATCTGTCACATGAGCTTGTGTCTGTCTGTTTCAGTTGTACACCTGGAGCCCCACCATGCAGAACCCCTACAAGGGAATGGTCACGTGGACTGTACCGGAAAATGTAGAGATAATGGTAACGTTATTCCGAGACTCTCGCCAGGCTGAGTTTGAAGACAAAGAATGGACATTTGTGATAGAAGATGTAAGCCCATTTCATGTGATTTAGCTGCTTAGATCCCTAATTATAAATTCAAAGGAGCTTCTGACATTTTGTCTGTTGTAGCATGCAATCATTGTTTCACATAACCAAAGAAATCTTACCGTGATGTACCAGACAATATATTTTCCGAGTGATGATAATATCAATCATGTTTATATTGATGTTTTAGACATGACCAAAACACAATACGTTTGTCATCAAGCAAGAGAATATTTTTGTAAATGAAACATAGGTTTGAATGCATATGTTCATGTAACTATGTGAAGTTTTCATACATGATTCTGAAGCCACTCTACGAGGTGTTTTCGCCAGCCATCACCCAATGTAACCCGACTTGTGTTGTGTGTCTGCAGCAATCAAAAGGCCGCCGGAAGATCTTGGCTAGCGGCAACATCAACATGAGGGAGTATGCCAGCCATGTGCCCACTCAGAAGACCATCAAGGTGAATCTGAAGCCTGCCACTAAGAAAGTAGTGTCAGCGTCACTGGAGCTCACCATCTCCTGCAGCTTCATCAGGGAGGGGAAGGCCACGTGAGTCAGCCTCTGTACCCTTCTACTATTGTGTAGATCGATGCTGATGATGTCAATCACTGGATTGCAACGTTAGAAATTGGCACTAGTCCTATAGTCCTTGCTAAACTGCCCAATAGTTAAGGTATCATAAGGACTAGTAGAAATTTGCCATTTTAAGGCTATATGTGATCATTATAAAGACTAGTGGACGAAAACTGTTAGTTTCTACTGCTGTGATTGTCTGATCCAGACTCAATTAATTACAGACCGCCGCCATATAGCTGGAATATTGCTGAGTGCGGCATAAACAACAAACAAACAATTCGCTGCGCAGAGTTGTGTCCCTTTGGCACACTGGAAACCTATGACTTATGACCTTGTGGTATTTTGACATTATGCTCTATCTTGCACTTGAAACACTTGATAGTGCCACCTGGTAGATTGTTCTGAAGCTAAAGCTGTCGTGTTTCTAGTGAATGTAAATATTCCACTTTACATCATCACATTTAAGCATCAACTCATATAACAAAAATAATATTCACTGTCGTTGCATAACTCACCTTTTGGCTCTTCAAAAAAGATGTAAAGAGAACTAAATCTGAATGATAGTGTTAATGTATTTGCTGTCTGCTGGCTAGTGTATCAAATTGTAAGCCTGACATCGTGTCAGTGGAATGTACCCCATGAGTTTATAAACAGTGTGACACCTGTGAAGATCTGGGTAGAGAATAGGTCCCATGCTTGCTGTAAGAGGTGACTAATGAGATTGTGTGGTCAGGCTTATTGACTTGGTTGATGCATGTCATCGTATCGCAATTGAGTAGATTGATGCTCATGATGTCAAGCACCAGATTGTCTGGTCCAGACTCGTTTATTTACAGACTGCCATGATATAGCTGGAATATTGCTGAGTGCAGTGTTAAACAACAAACAATATAAAGAGGATGAAATAGTTTTCTTGTTAACTGTTATATCAGAAGTGCTTACTGTGTCTGTTCTGTAGGTGAAACCATCTAGTGTTGTAATTGAGCTGATTGTTTTTGGTGTATGACAAATTGGTGAACTGAAGATAGTTGGTGTTCTTGTTAATCCAGAAAACAACCTCAGAATATTTTTTTTATCAAGCGGAAGTAGACATATTCACTACTGAGTTGTGATTACCCCTAAACTTCGACATTAGATAAAGTTTGCAGTTGTAGTTGTTTTTCGTACTCAAATATATATCAGCTGCACACTTGCATAAACAGTTACAGTATTATATGTGCAACCTAAGAAAATATTTTCCAGGCTATTAGTTTTTAGAATGAATATGAGCTGTCTTATACCACACCAGAAACTGGTGATGTAACTTTCTGGACATTTCAGTGATGCCTTTAAAAAACGTGCAGACAACTCACTAGGCGAGATTGTTAGACGTAACTTTGGATAAATATATGCAAGTAAGATGACAGTGGATAATCTGGAAATGGTTTAAATGAAGATGATTGAACGAGTGAATGTGTTTCTTAATACCACAGAAACTGGTGTACTACATTGTAAATATAAAATGTAACAGTATCTATACCAACCATGTAGACCCTCACTGACTTTCCATAGTAATGTAAAATGTAACAGTATCTATACTGACCATGTAGACCCTCAATGACTTTTCATCATAATGTAAAATGTAACAGTATCTATACCAACCATGTGGACCCTCAATGACTTTTCTTCATAATGTAAAATATAACAGTTTCTATACCGACCATGTAGACCCTCACTGAATTTCCATCGTAATGTAAAATGTAACAGTATGTTTACCGACCATGTAGACCCTCAATGACTTCAATGACTTTTCATCATAATATAAAATGTAACAGTATCTATACTGGCCATGTAGACCCCCAACAATTTTTCATCAAAATGTAAAATGTAACAGTATCCATACCAACCAATGACTTTGCTTCATAATGTAAAATGTAACAGTATCTATACTAAACCATGTAGACCCTCAATGACTTTTCTTCACACTGTAAAATGTAACAGTATCTGTTTTGACCATGTAGACCCTCTACAGTTGATAAATCTTGGAGATATTGAGAAGAAGAATGCTGATTGTCAGCCTGACCACGATGACTGTGTCTGTGTGCGAGACAAACACTGGCTAGACATCATTCGGCACATATAGATTTTCTGTTGTGGAAATAACCAGGTGTTAGGCCGTATAAGACATCTAGTATGACAGGGTTTGCATCTACTTACATAGTGGTAATACAGACAAGTTAACATGGTTAGCGGTTCCATGGTGACATCATGGCAACTTGAGCTGAGGCTGCTGGATGTGGGCTACATGAAGATGTTCATCCTGGTTGGTCAAGTTGACCTTTTTCGCATGCATTGTCAGGTTGTGTCAGTCAGTTCTGTATTCTGTGTTGAGGTTTCAATATTTACACACATTTTTGCGCAAGTTTTGTTCAGTCTTATAGTCCTTGCCAAACTGCCCAATAGTTAAGGTATCATAAGGACTAGTAGAAATTTGCCCTTTTTAAGGGTTTTGCTATATGTTATTATTATAAGGACTAGTGGTCTAAAACTGTTAGTTTCTAAAGCTGTTGACAACAATACATACCACCAGTTGAGCACATATGGCAAGGGTATCAGTTATGGCTAAGAATGTTGTGTTAGTGCCACATGTACAGAGACTGGGACTTGTGTTTCAGAGATGAGGACATGCAGAGCGTAGCCAGTCTCATGAGCATGGGGAAGGCCGACATTGGCAATCTGGACGATCTGGAGGAGGAGGACGAGGAACCTGGTGTAGCCAATCACAAGCGAGACGACAAAGCTTTGAGCAGCCAGATTAAAGATATCACTTCCCAGCTAGATAATCTGGAGGCACATCATGGTAATCCGTTTGAAGATGATGCAGACGAGGACTGGGCATGTGACTCGGAGGGCAATGGCAACTCGCTTAACCCATTTGGTATTGTTGGCATGCTGTTTCTGTTTGCTTCTTCTGTGTTGGAACACTCTCAGTGGCGATGTCTGTACCAAATAGTTGATGATGCGAAAGATGATGCAAAATATGTTCCCAGACAATTTGTTTGTGTGTAGTATTCATAGGTATACATGGATTGGACAAGGTAAACAAGGATCAAGAGTGATCGAAATTCTGATATTTCTCTTCATGATATTCTTAGACATTACTCATGTCCACTGATAGTGTTTCAGCCTGTTGTCAGTATTGTAATAATACATTGTTCAAATAATATACACAATGAGTAGAACTTTTTTCTATAAAAAAAACATGACACAGAAATTAAAAAAAAAAGGTATTTTTTCCAATAAATTATTATTTGAGATCCACTCTTATTTTACATTGTTTGATCAGTATTGACAACAATGCTACCAGTTTCAACTCAGTTTCAGTTCATGCTGTCTCCTTGCTAGATTTTAATTTGATTTGATTTTTTGTATTCTTTCTATGCATGAATATTATTTCCTGATTCAATTCAACTTGACGAATTGTGTCCACCCATGGTGATGTATTTTTACTACTTGATGAAGTATCTCTACCCACTATGGTGTATGCTTTCAACCCTTTCTCCATGCTCATGTTGTGGTAGATGTTTTGATGTGGCTGTGACCACTCTGTCTCTGATACTGCTGTCACCGACTGTCAATAACTGTCCACATGCTGCACACATGGACTCCCTGTTGAGTGATGTATCCTGACTGTTGATGGCATGGTTGTCACATCCTGGCTGTGCCCACTTACACTGCCATGCCCTTGTTCAGGCCACACAAGTACTAACATGTCTATATCCTTGTATGGGCTTGTGTCCAGGCAGTTACTAGATAACCCCAAGGCCGATGATGATAGGGATACCACATTCTGAACACGTTGTTGCATCCTCGATTATCCAAAGTATTATGTCTCCTCCATTATGATAAATACCCTGGACCCTTTTGCCACCACACCCTCGTTTGAAAGTGATGTCACCAGCTTCATCTCTCTTATCAGCAACTTAACGCAGAATTTCTCTCACTTATTGGGTTGAAATCAACAATCAAAATGTCTCTCCCAAACACAAGTTCAGCATAGGTCTGCATTTAATACACCAGCCTCATATGAGAGAGCACAAAACGTATTTGATCAAATCGAAAGATTATTATTAATGATTTTGAAGCTGAAAATATGTTTTTTGAGTACAAGGGAATCCCCTTTGCTACAAGATCTTTCACTTGTATTAGAGATTGCATGCAAAAATGGAGTCGAGTACTGGTGATATCGCCAGTCCAGTCATATAAGAACAGTGTAACTATTCTGGATAGCCCTCTTTAGCATCATGTCATTCGAAATGAACTCTAAATGAACCCCTAGGGGAATTGGTCCAGGGTCATTATCATAATAGAATGGTGATATTATATACTGGATAAACATGGATGACTTTGTAAAGAAAAATGAAATTGTTTAGGGGTATTTCTTCACAGCAGTCCTAATTCTTCCCCCCCCTGCTGAATAGTGATGCCAGTGCTGACCCTGACCCTGTCCCCAGAAGCAAATGCTTGTTGTGACTTTTTCGCTGACATAGGGAACAGGTGGTCCCTGACTGTTGTTTTGGAAACGTAGTTGGTAGGTGAATATCGGTAAAGACCAACACCAAATGCCTGATTGTATCAGGGATCAATCTTGGATTACAAGTAAGTACCCTTGGGAGGGAATTGGGAAACAATCAGGATTTTGTTCCAAATTATTATTTTTTTAAAGTTCTTATATTCTTTAATTCAGAGGTCTTTTAACTTGTATATTAACATTACTTTGAATAATGTAAAACTAAACATGAAAGCCTCTTCTTCTTTATTGGCTCTGTTACCTCTACAAAGCCATCTCGTTAGTTATAACTATACAGTATATGTAGAAACATGAAATTCGAAATTCTTTATTCATGAATTACTGACATTTGCTGCAGATTTGTGGTCAAATATCGGCGTATGAGCAGGTCTAGATAAATCAGCAATAGGAACTAACAGTTTTAGTCCACTAGTCCTTATCATGATCACATATAGCAAAACATTTAAAAAGGGCAAAGTTTTACTGGTCCTTATGATACCTTAACTTTTGAGTAGTTTGGCAAGGACTACAGGACTAGTGCTAATTCCTAATGCTGATAAATCCCTGTATGTCACATCACCCTGACAAGTTGGGTCACAGGAGACTTGTCTGATCCACCCCATTCTACCTGACTATGGTGCGTTGCTGACCATGTATGTCCGTTAGGTGTCTTGTACTGTACTGGGAGGTTGTTAGTGTTGTTATACACCTGTTATCATCCCATGCATTGTGGGAACCCGTCCCTGGTGTCATAATGCTGAAGTATTGCTAATAGTGGAGCGAAACTCCATAACTCACTCACTGACACTGATGTAGATGCATCTAGAGTGTTGTTGCTGGTTCCTGTGTACCCGTAGTCATAGTAACATGGTGTGTGGTCAACAGCAGTCTCATGCCTGATGTGCCTTGCAACTAACAGTGGTTGAAAGTGAAATTTGAAGTGCCGTGTCTGCAAGGTTTTATTACATTCAGTTGTATATCATATTAAGTTGTAGGGGAAAAATTGGGGTACTGAGGAAATGGCCCTGTCAAGATGTTGACCTTGTGGTCATAATGGATGGCATCCTGTATCAATATTTTATGTAGTAGGTCAAAAGTTAAATCACAAGTACTGTAATGAACATAGAAAAATCTGTGGCACTTTCTGTTGTAGTTATTAATGCCAAAATATATCGCTTTCATTTTGAACAGTTGCTGTTATCTATCTCCTAATGAATGTCTACCCTGTGACAAATTTCATTCTTAGTGAGTGTTAAATTTCTTGTTCTTTAGTTGAACCAGTGTTTAAGAAAACTGAAGACAAAAAGGTGAAAAAAACTCCCAATCCATTTGAGGACTCAGGTGAAAAGTCTGAAGAAGTCAGTCAGGAAACTGATGAAGACATTTTCAAGAAACTTGATAGTGCTAGTATATCCAAACAGCCTGGTGCCAGCCACGGAGATCAGCAGAAATACAGGACTCTTCCTGCTTCCCTGTCACACAAAGATGCCAGCAAACATGGAACAAAGAAGAAATCCGCTATGACACTGAAAATGAGCAAGTCATTATCACCTACTGATCGGCCGATATATGAAGGCACGCCACCTTCTACACCAGAAGAAGAGAAGCCCCCAACAAGGGCCATAACTCCTCCTCCACCACTGGATGAATCACTCAACTCCACACTGGATGTTTCCACAAGGTAAGGTGTTGTCAGATCGTAGGCAGTGGATCTGACAAGTATGTAAGATACAATTATTTTGTTACTGAAGTGATGATGATATGGGGAGCAATGGTGATTCATCCAACAACACTCACCATCTGATGAATATAGGCAGTGAGTGAGTTGGGTTTATCGCCCTCTGAACAGTATTCCGCTTATCAGCTTATCACGTCATGTCAGTTTAATATTGGAGGAAAGCCTGAAGTGATGCAGGTCTTATAGATGTATACCACTTTGGTGAAACCCACGAGCACCCGTAAGGTGCTGACCCGTGAAGATCCGGGGTAGAATAGGGCTTCAGCAACCCATGCTTGCCTTAAAAGGCGACTATGCTTGTCGTAAGAGGCGACTAACGGGATCGGGTGGTCAGACTCGCTGACTTGGTTGATGCATGTCATCTATCCCAATTGCGTGGATCGATGCTCATGATGTCAATCACGTGATTGTCTGGTCCAGACTCGATTATTTACAGACCGCCGTCATATAGCTGGAATATTGCTGAGTGCGGAGTTAAACAACAAACAAACAAACCGGTAAGGTGCTGACACACCTTGAAACATAATCAGGGAGAACAGGGATTCCAACCCTTGATCATAGGTTTCGGGCATGCCCAATGGATGTAACTCTGCACAGCAAATTGGGTGCTTCAGGAAGAATATACACAGACAGATTGCTTCTCATTAAAGTGACTTCTTGGTTTCAGGTCGTCTCTTTCCGAAACATCTTCTGCCAATGTCAGCACTTTCTCACAGACACCTGATGGGGAGACCAGTCTGGTAATTGGCTTCATTTTACTCTGGAATTATAATATTTTATGAGCCTTATGATACGATTATTGTTGATGAAAAATTTGTGAAAGGCAATCATTGAATAACATAATTTGTGTAAGAATTTCTAAAGAATATTTGATTTGTACTATTTTCACCCGTAATTCAAGATTGCATGTTTCTGACAAATAAGGGAAGTCATTTTGATCTGTTTGTTTTTTGGCGCTTCATGGGGTTAACTCTGACAATATATACCAGTTTCCTACCTGTCATGTTGATCATTTAGTGCAGTGGTTGGTCTTGTTGAATGAAATTAGTGCAGAAGTTGGGCTTGTTGAATGAAGTTAGTGCAATAGTTGGTCTTGTTGGATGAAGTACTTGTTCCCCTACCTGTTATGGTGATCGTTTAGTGCAGTGGTTGGTCTTGTTGAATGAAATTAGTGCAGAAGTTGGGCTTGTTGAATGAAGTTAGTGCAATAGTTGGTCTTGTTGAATGAAGTACTTGCACTCCTACCTGTCATGTTGATAATTTAGTGCAGTAGTTGATCATGTTGAATGAAGGTAGTGCAGTAGTTGATCTTGTTGAATGAAGGTAGTGCAGTAGTTGATCTTGTTGAATGAAGGTAGTGCAGTAGTTGATCTTGTTGAATGAAGTTGGTGCAGTAGTTGGTCTTGTTGAATGAAGATAGTGCAGTAGTTGGTCTTGTCGAATGAAGTAACTGCACTCCTACCTGTCATGTTGATCATTTAGTGCAGTAGTTGGGTGATGTACAGGGAGACACTGTGTTACAGCTGGAGTCCCCCAGCCCTGGCAACCTGTCGCAGGACCTGTTGTCATGGTGCCAGGAGGTCACCAAGGGTTACCGAGGAGTGAAGATCACCAACCTGACGACATCATGGCGGAACGGGATGGCATTTTGTGCAATAATCCACCACTTTAGACCAGATCTCATGTGAGTACATCTCATATTCCTTGAAAATCGGCTTGTTTTATTTTCCAAAGTTCACTTTGTGATTTTGTAGTTTAAGTCATATTAATGTACATGTTATTCATGAAGATTATTTTCTACTTTCAGTGATTTTGCATCTTTAGCACCGCATAATATAAAGGGTAACAACAAAATAGTAAGTAAATTGTGACATAACTGTTAAATTGGTTTAAGACACATCTTCATGGCTGGAGGAAACATTTCCGAGGTTATGATCTCTGGTTGTTTCATATGATTAAATCTTCTTTGAGATCAGCCACTTGAAATTATGCCTGTATTCTGTCATTCAGAAGACTTAAGGTTAATAACCCCTGAGAAAGCATGAACAAAGTGCATCTGAGAACTTCTGAGAAATTTGGGTCCCCACCCCATATGTCTGAACCTGGGCCCACTTCCATAAAGCAATCATAGCGATAACGCGATCATAACTCTCTTATTTTAACATGGACTTACGACTGTCGAAAAGCTACAATCACCTTGTGGAAAGGGGTCCTGGTCATTTTCTCAGATAATGGTCACCTCAACTCCCCTGAAGCACTGAATGTATATATTTTGGACAGTTTGTTAAGTGGATGTCCATCATTTCAGGCATTTGACTCAGCAGCCAAACTTGGAATCCCCAAAGTGATCGAGCCATCTGATATGGTGCTACTTGCGGTGCCGGACAAGCTGTGTGTGATGACATACCTGCATCAGCTGCGTGCGTACTTCACGGGGCAGACGCTAGAGGTGCAGCAGATTGGCATGAGTACCAGCGAGAGCACCTACACATGTGGGGAACATGATGAAGTCACTGACCAGAGAATATCAGAGGAGATGTATGGCAAACATTCACCAAAGAAAATCCTTACCCCTCAGTCTCCAGACAAGATCAAGGACTTTGATGTGGTTAGTCGGGAGTGTGAAACGGTTACAGTTAACGGTGGTGACGTGGAGCTGAGGCGAGAGCCTGTGAGCAGTGATAACAGGACATCGAGTACCAGCATGGAGCTAAAGAGAGACTCTGTTCTTAAGGATGACAGTTCACGAAATTCCCACAGTTCACGAGACTCAGCAAGTGTTGAGTCAGATCGTAGTTCAGCTTCTCCAGCAAAGGATTTGTCCCGGGAATCATCAGCCTCTCCTGCCAGTGCCAAGAAGCCACATTATAAGAAACGGCGTGCACCAGTTCCACCAAAGCAGAGGAAGCGCCGGGCACCTAGTCCGCCCCGGAAATCCAATTCCGATAAACCATTGTTGATGACGAGGAAGCAGCTGTACAATCCCTTCGACTCAGATGATGAGGATGAGGATGAAGATGATCCATCCAACCCCTTCTCCAGCAGCTTTGTTGAAACAGATCAAGGTGAGGAGGAGGAAGTGAATGGTGGGGAGCCGGAGCCGGAGCCGGAGCCGGAGCCGGAGCCAGAACCGGAGCCAGTCTCCGTCTCAGTTCCAGTCTCAGTCCCTGTTCCGGCAGAGAGGTGAGTGAGGTGGGATGAGTGAAGTTTTGTTTGTTTGTTTGCAGCACTCAGAGTAGGGGGTCAGGAATAGTGATGCATTAGGGGAGGTTGGGGGTTATGAGAGTTGGAAAGGGTGTTATGAAAGTATACATGATCTGAAAGTTGTGGGGACATGAGAGAGATCTGTAGCCGGACAGTAGGATTTGATAGAAAGAGCAGTAAAGGCAGAGGATTGATATGAATTCATGTGGGATGAAAGATTCAGTAGATCAGTCATGTGATACTTTCAGTCAGAATTCTGTCTCATGATCTCCCCTGCAGGGCCCCACTATGGACCTGGTTGGGGGCTTGCTGCGCCCACCCACGCCTTATCAGTTGTTTTTGTCATCCTTCAATCACATGCCTGGTAGATACAGCATTAGTCAGGCAGAGGATTGAGTCGGTAGGGTTGTCAGAGAGAGAGATCGGTAGTATAGGATGGGAGTCTGACATTGGGTGGTCAGGTCAATGTGCCTTCACTATTTCTACCAGGAAAATGTTAAAAACTGTATTTGCTATTTTTTTATGTTTGTGCTCTCTGTTGTCAGGAAGAAGATCCCAGTGGATGTTAGTGTCCTCTCAAGTCCAGCACCAGAGAAACAGCCCCCACCGGTAGGTCTTAATGTTTAACAGGAAGCCCCACTGGTAGATCTTAGTGTTTAATAGGAACCCCTTACGCTAGGTCTTAGTGTTACGTAGGAATCAACACCAGTAGGTCTTAATGTTAAATTGAAGCCATCACTGGTAGGTCTTAATGTTTGATAGGAAGCCCTCATGATAGGTCTTAGTGTTACATTGGAATCCACCATCAGAAGGTTCTAATGTGAGTTAGGAAGCCATCACTAGTAGGTCTTAATGTTAGATAGGAAGGCACCCCTGGTAGGTCTCTAATGTTAAATTGGAAAAATGGATAAACGTTTTGAAGATTGTAAAGCAATCCTGCAGTTGATGATAGAACCAGACTTTCTGAACACTGATATCCAGAAGAGTTTCACAATGTTTGTGTCCATTTGGGAATGTGATCAGTGTGTCTCACATTCATTGATGCATCTTATTTTATTGTACATTGATAGCAACATATGTTTTTTTTCTAAGAAATAAGACTTGTTTCCTGCCTAAAGAATGCCTTTAATTGTGTTGACCTAGGATATGTTTTTTGTTTTTATTATTCCCTAGCAGAAAAGACCGCCTCCGTGGTCTGGTAGTGGAGCATCCGCCCAGAGAGCTGAAGGTCTGGGGTTCGAGCCCTGGCTGCATCGTACCAAAAGACATTAAATGATGGTACTGAATGTGGTTCTGTTTCAGGTCGCAAAGAGGCGCAATCTGCCTGAGTCTCCGACAGACCTCACCGCCACACAGGAGGCAAGCAGTGCCCCAGGCCCTGCTGTCTGCACCAGCGATGTGAGTATTCTCCCCATACAGATGACCTATATGACCTGCAGTGTACACTCCTTGTCCTCTTACATACATCCTAAAGGTTCAGTGATAGCCTGAGAGTACTGGTATTTTAAATAGGGTTGTTTACGGGGATTTATTTAGGCTGTCTGTCATCTTCAGCAACATCACTTTTCATTTTGATATTTCCAATGAGAATATTATTTATGCTACTCAAACAAATTTAAGGACCACCCGATTCTTTCATATTACATGTACTATATTTAATCTGTTGTGACAATGTAATTATGGTAATATGAAAGAATCAGGTGGTCCTTAACCTTTTTTGGGTAGTATAGATGTCATTTCTTTCAACTTCAAAAGATGAATTTTAAATCACAGAATGCAAAACTCTAAATTTAATCATCTTTTTCAATGCTTGGAAGTGAATTTTGTATATAGGTTTGTAACATTTCCTAACATAATTATTATCACCCTATCACAGGCATCCAGAACATATTCCTGAATGAATCCCTGTTTGCCCACATATACACCTGTCAGTCTTGGACCATCGTCATTCTCAGTTAATCAGATTTGATTTTGTATGCATGTACCATTAGTACAGTTATGCATCAAATTCTGTGGTCACTATGTTCTTTTCGAAGTATTAATTTTCATATGTTATGAGTAACTATGAATGAAGTATTTTTTATCTGATTTCTTTTCTATAAGCTGTTGTTGCATTATGCCATCACATATATTCACATTCAGACACATCCAGACACATCCCAACAAGCAAAGCAAGGAGCACTGTTTTGAATCTTTAAATCTGGTTACATACAAATCACCATCAACTTCAGAACTTATCAGGGTGGTGGGGTAGCCTAGTGGTTAAAGTGTTCGCTCATTGCGCCAAAGGCCCGGTGTCGATTCCCCACAAGAGTACAATGTGGGTAGCCCGTTTTTGGTGTCCCCAGACGTGATATTTCTGGAATATTGATAAAAACTGAGTAAAATCCATGTCACAAACTCAGCTTATCATAGGTGTCAAGTTTTCTCCCCTTACAACAGTCAATCACCCATTCAAAACAAAGGAGGATTGGTCCACATGGCCTCAAAATTGTTGTACCAATTGACAAAATTGAGTTGCAGTTTCAAAATGTGTGACCGGGGTTTTTGTCCCGAGAGCACCTTGGTGTTGCCTCTCTACAGGCTGCTGTGATATAGCTGTAATATAGCTGACTGGGCCATGATCCAACGCTCAATTATTTGTCTTAAATATGTTATGGATAACGATTTATTTCATAGACGTTTTATAGACTATTTCTACTGTTGAGTTGGCCTAGCACACATTTTTGCATTGACCACTATCAACTTGGTCCTTTTTGACATTCATTTGCAGTGTTTAAACTATATAGATAGTGTTTTACTGTCACTTTTACATGATATGTGGACTGGTAAATGTCAATGTTATATTCTGACAGACTTAATTTTGATATTTACTTCAACTCTCTGCATTTGCATTAGTGTGTGTGTGTTTGCAATTGTGAGACTTCTGCAAAAGTTAAAGAAGTTGAACAAATATGCTGTTCTGAAAGTTGGTCACATTCTGAACATCTTACTTGACCTGTAATACACTAATTGGAAGATCTTTTAAATTTATTTCTATGATATGTTTAAAAAAAACACACAGAATTTATTTGCTATAATGTTCACATAATTTGCTATTAAGAAATTAAGGCATGGCAATGCCAAAGGTTTGGACTATTCTGGTAATTTCACAACTATTTTTTTTACCAGATACAATATTCAGATCAGTTGGGTTTAGTTTTCTTTAAGGACATTACTTTCAGAATGTTGTTCAAGATTAACACTGGTCATGTAATAAAGTGAATCGATGGAGATATTTTTTATACTTCTCTGTCAGAGTCTGCATTGTCTTTTACAGTCTTGATTTAATCAATGATTTTAATTTCTTTAGTTAATTTTAGAGGTACTAACTTTTGTTTGGTCTGATTTTGTTTTCTGGTTTCTTTCCTTCCTTTGCCTGCATTTCCGTTAGTCTCGTCCCAAGTCTCGACACGAGGAGCTCAAAGAGCGTGCTAGACAATTACTGGAACAGGCCAGGCGTGAGGCCACCCTGAAGAAGTCGGTATCGACTGAATCAGCTCCCGGGGCAGAGCAGGAGGATGCCAAGGTGCCTAGGGTGGGGCATGACTTGGGCTAGGGGGAGGGTGGGGCATGACTTGGGCTAGGGGGAAGGGGGGCATGACTTGGGCTAGGGGGAGGGGGGGGCATGACTTGGGCTAGGGGGAGGGTGGGGCATGACTTTGGCTAGGGGGAGGGTGGGGCCTGAGTTGGGCTAGGGGGAGGGGGGGCATGACTTGGGCTAGGGGGCGGGTAGGGCATGACTTGGGCTAGGGGGAGGGGGGGCATGACTTGGGCTAGGGGGAGGGTGCGGCATGAGTTGGGCTAGGGGGAGGGGGGGCATGACTTGGGCTAATGGGAGGGTGGGCATGACTTGGGCTAGGGGGAGGGTTGGGCATGACTTGGGCTAGGGGGAGGGTGGGGCATGACTTGGGCTAGGGGGAGAGGGGGCATGACGGGCTAGGGGAGGGGGGGGCATGACTTGGGCTAGGGGGAGGGTGGGGCATGACTTGGGCTAGGGGGAGGGTGGGGCATGACTTGGGCTAGGGGGCGGGTAGGGCATGACTTGGGCTAGGGGGAGGGTGGGGCATGAGTTTGGAAAGGTGGATGTTGGGGCATGACTTGAGCTAGGGGGAGGGTGGGGCATGACTTGGGCTAGGGGGGAGGGTGTGGCTTGAGTTGGGCTAGGGGGAGGGTGGGGCATGAGTTGATCTACTTCCATGTTGGACATGATCATGAGTAGGATGAGGAATAGGGGGTGGGGAATGAGGGGTCGTATGTAAAATACTTATATTCCGCCACAAGAACTTGCTATGGTGTTGATACCAGGTGTACCAGTGTATCTTCAATTTCAGTAGGTTACAGATTCTCTAGGCTGTAGATGAGCATCCATCAAAGCCTTGTACCCTTTCAAATTGATCAAGTACCGGTATGGTGGTATATTGGTCTTCACATTGCACATTTGCTTTGCCAGCATCACAATATATTTTCCCCACTTCATATATAAATTTCTCGTATCAATTCTTTATGGCTACGAAAATAACATTTATGCTGGTATATATTTGCTACCATCAGTATGCCTATATGTCATTGATTCATATGATAATATTATATACTGTCTGTACGTAAAGAACAAATATGTTTGGCATGATTTTATTAGTGTTTCAATTATGTGCCTTGTCACTTGCATATTTACCGTAAGCATCTATGTATGTTTTATGGAGTCAATGAATGTAACTGCGTTTCTTAAGGATCAAACCTAACGTGCATGTGAAACAAGAGTAGCATCCAATGATCATCATCATCATCTGCAGGATGAGGATCGACAGAAGCGTTTACGAGAACGGGCAAGGAAGTTGATTGCAGAGGCCAGAGCTGGTATTGGGAGTCCTGAGCCGTCCTTCGACCGCCAGAGTAGCACAGATTCTAAGTCAGGTGAACCAGAGAGCTCCACAAAAGTACTGAAGACCTCCACAACTGAACCAGGTGAGCCTAGCTTGCAGTGTGGGAACCCCATGTGGGGCTCCGATCATGTCCATGTGACCATGCTGGTGCCTTGCCTCGGTTAACATGTTATAGTGTATATGCCTGCCTTTTTAACTCAGGCAAGTTATGAACCGTTGTGCTGCAGTTGTTAAGTGTACAGAGAAATCGTGATTTTCCATTCCCTGATAGCCAGACCCCTGGGAATATTGAGCTAAAAGTGGTCCATACACAGGTCGTACAACGCCACTTAATGGATCGTGGTCAGGCTCTCTAACATGGTTAATACGTGCCATCATCCTCATCAGCATGGATTGTTGCTCATGATATCAATCACTTGTGTGCCTTTTCTGGTATCGATTATTTACAGGCTGCCGTCATATAGCTGGAATGTTGCTGATAGCGGCAAAACAAGAACAAATGAAATAAACTTGACCTCCAAACAAATACTGTTGACAGTGTCCATATGTATTCAAAGGAACACTACTCATGAATTGTTAATCAGATAATTAATCAGATAATGGATGATTTCTTTGGTAATGGTACTCCCTGGACAATCAGGGTTTTGCTGTATATATCAGCTGCGAAAAATAAGTTACCTGAAGAACACCTAAAATTACATATGACTTATTTTTATTTTTTATTTGTCGTGGCCATGGCAGACTAACTTTAGTCATATGAAAAAATCAGGTGTTTTTTAACTTCTTATGAGTTATATTATATATATTTGTATGTGCTTATAAATGCTGATGTTGTTGGTGTTGATGTTGTTATCTGTATATATAGTACAGCATGAATCTCTGTTCAGTGTAGTCACCATTCTTAGTGCACAGTCAGCTACTGAAAGAAATATTAACAAAGGAATTCTGTGTTTTATTATTTCTGTTACTTGTAACGTTGTTCACTAGTGCTGAGGATTACAAGCTTGTTCACCCTGTGTTGTTCACCTGACACAGGTCTAAATTATTTATGTTGAATAGTATTGAATGTGGTGTTAAACAACAAACACTCTTGTAGAGTTGAAAACTGTTCAGATATAGGACAAGCAATGGTTTAATTTTACTGACTTTGTACAAGCAGTACTTCCTATTATAAACTGACTTTTATTGAGCTACTTTTTTAATTGCTGTCCTGCTATTCAGTTACCAGTAAACTACATGATTGGCTTTATTTGTTAAGAGTAAGTTAGTGTGGAGCCGCTTTGAACAATATTTCAGTTATATCATGGTGTGTTTACTTACTTTGGGGAAAAAGCCATAAATGTTTACCCCTTCAGTGAGACCCATGGGAAGGGTATTGTGCTGACAAACCTGGGATCGTAAAGTCAGGGATTGAAACCCCCTGACCTTCAGATCCTGGCACAACTAAGAAACACAACTCTCCACAGTGAATAGCAGCACCATAAATGACTAGGACATCCATGCCCCCTTTCTTAATGAACACTTGTATGAGTCTAATGTTTCATTAAAAAAAGATAATCAGGAAATGGTTTATCTATATTCATGAAATACGGATCAATATCATAAGTAACCTATGTTTAGTATTTGTTTACATTATACATTGTATTGAACATTGAGTCTTTATCTCTTTTCTAAAGTTCTTTTATTTTTTTTATTTTAAACCATTCTTTTGATCACTGTACTAGTCACTTCCAATTTATTGCACTAATTGTTTTGCTTCTTTGTTCTATGACATGTGGCTGAACTTTCTTTTTGTGTGCATGGCAGTTTCCATCAAGGCGTACCGCCTTGCCCCCCAAGTGCACTACATTGGTAGGTAGCTACATCCTTCTCTGCTGTAGGCTACTGCTGCATCACACTCAGGCAAACGGAAACATAACAAACAATGTCACCCCCCTTCATGGACAACAACTCCTTTATTGTTGGCAGCAATGTTTCCGGCATATTCTGAAACCGAAACATTACAAACAATATGGAAATAGTCACCCGTAAAAGTTGCATGTCTTCATGTTCTTCCATCTTCTTAATACATGCCAGAGACTTTGATCACCCAATTTATTGTAATATTAAGAATTATATATAGAATTCATTATTTTGGTTCATTAGCTGAAGTAGGTGCATCATGATAGTTTATGGGATGAAGAGCGTTTGACACTCTCTACTAATTGAGTTCAGGTTGTCCTAAAATGTAACAAGAAGTCACAGTTTATTTTTATTTTTGTGTCGACATTTTGCACAATGTGGTATGGCCAGAAGTCCTCCCAAATTTGCCTGAGTCTGATGCATGAACAGGGAGGGTCATCTTCATGTTCCTCCCTTAACTGTTCTTGATCAGTGTTTGAAATTAAGCATGAAAGTAGCGTGGTCCTTGTCATAACCCTAGTGTCAAAGTCACAACATTTAGGGATCCCTTGTTTCAAATACTACAGGAGACAGCGATAGAAATTGGCACTAGTCCATAGTACCATACTTGCCAAACTGCCCAATAGTTAAGGTATCATAAGGACTAGTAGAAATTTGCCACTTTTAAGTGTTTGGCTATATGTCATCATTATAAGGACTAGTTGACTAAAAATGTCTGTTTCTAACACTGTAGGACCGTGGATATCCTTAATTTCAAACACTGATGAATCGTCAAGCTTGATTGATTAACCAATAATATGTTGTGAAGCTTTCTTCTTGATGCTTCTCCTTGATTGAGGACAGTGATGTCCTGTGATGTGTAGTTGATGTGTAGTTGATGTGTACTTGCTGACTGTGCCCACCTCACCTCTGTACTCAGTCACCCACCATGTATGCTCCTCTCACTGCGTACCCTACTGTCAGTGTGGCAGTCTGTCACAGGACACTTGTCTGACACTTATATGTATGTGGTATGATGGCCTCTGCAGTTTGTGTATTAAACCACATCCAAGCCCCTAGTCTAGTACATGTTTTGTCCGAAAGTTTGAACTTATTTATCATGAATTTAAAAAGAAAATCAGTCAGTTTATAATGTTGATACTGTTTCGTGAAAAAGTTTTAAAAATCATTCAGTATAATAATGTCAAAAATGATAACAGTCTGCTGATGATATAATGATCATGTAATGTGACTGTGAGATTTGACTATTAGATACTGAACCGCGAAAGAAATGTTACTTCATGAAAGTTTCCCATTGAAATATCAATGTTGTTTTTGGAGGTATCTCGAGTTTGACATTAGTCTGTATCCAAATTTAACGGCCACAATGATGTTAACAAGTGACACAAAGATGAATATAATGGGTCGTCAAAACGTAGCTTCAACGGCCATGGTACAAAGTCCCAAATGCTTTCCATTAAAATCAAAATTCACTTGTGTTTCCTTGTGCCTTTTCTGATAAACGGCACCACACACACGTGGATCCAACATTCTTGTATCAATACAAGCGCCATGCCAAGACTTATGAAGAATCAGAGAAAACAGGCTTTATGACGACTGTATGCTGTTGGTGACCTGGTATCGTTGCTGTAATCTGTAGATGGTTTTCATGTGGACATTAATAGCATTAGCAACAATTCATGCTGATTGGCCAGCATGCAGTCGTCATATAGCCTGGTTTCCCTGATTCTTCGTAAGTCTTATAGCTGGTATATTGCTTCGTGCAGCATGAAAAAACAAACACACATTCATAAAAACACTCACACATACATAATAAGAAACACACTCCAAACCCATGTGACAAGGTGATGCTGATGATGTCCGTTGCAGAGCGCCGCCACTCTGCCTCAGGGGATGAGGACAACAAATCCTCTGATGTCAAGCTGAAGAAGATCACTCTGGCCAAACCCAACCTGTCTGTTGGTCTGTCCACCAATGGCTCTGCTGATGCCGGGGAGAGAAGGCGGACACCTGAAGTGGAACAGGTAACAATCAGGTCGGGAGAGGGAGGTCAAGACCTGATCTTGACCTCCCTGCCTGTGGGGCTGGGATATCTTGTTGCTTTAGGGATCTATACACGTGAAAGCTCAGCCCAAATATGTGCAGAGATCCAGATAAGCTGCGTATTTGCATACAGAAATTTGACCCAATATGTAACAAGACTTTGCGTAATTGCACAATGTAGCTTTTTCAAGTTGGTACAGGTATAGCTTTGCAGATCTTTCCGTTATAACTGAATGCAGGCATAAAATCTACAGTGAGTAATGCACATACGTGCAGCATCCTGCGACATGTAACTCATGCACCACATGAACATATGTGACCCACAATAAAAAATGGGACCTTATGGGTGAAAAATCACCATTTTTGTCCAGTTCGCACACATGGCGATTTTTATGTAAGTAAGTTGACGTCGAACGTCTTTCTTTTGACATCACAGCACAACTGTATCCTAGTGCCTATAAGGTCCCTTTTCTCCTGATTGGTCACATATGCTAATCAGAAGTAGAATTATACAAGACCCAATAGACTGGACCCAGAAGAGTCAAAATATGTGACCCACCAGGAAAGAAGGGACCTTATGGGTGCTAGGATACAATTGTGCTATGATGTCATAAAGACGTTTGGCGTCAACGTAGTTAAGTGAAGATCGCCATGTGTGATGCCATGTATCTCTGGGATAAATATGAATTGAAGCTTGTGAATTGTATTTTTGTGTTCAGAAGATGTTGTAGTTTTAAAATATAATGAAAAGTCAAAATGTAATTTTTCACCCATAAGGCCCTTTATCTCATGGTAAGTACCGGTAATATATATATTGAATTCTCAAAGAAAACTATCAATACCCAAAGAGAAGGATAACGTAAGTAATACTCAATGGCTCGAAACATTATGTAGAGCCCTGTGTCTGGTTGTGAAAATAGCCACTGATAGCCCTAGCTCACTGAAATGTTTTTTATCATGATTTCCTGTCTATGTTTTGCAGAGAAGTAACCCTTTTGATCGTGAGAATGAAATGGAGCGTGTTTCTGCTGGAGAGCAAGGTAAATACTTTAGTTTACATGTGTTTTGTTGTGGGAATTGGTGTATTCTGGTGCATTGACATTTACCAAGTACCTACATCACATGTAATAGTATTCACCGCTACTACAATTAACTAGTTCTGAGGTATAGACTTCTCTCTACTTATGTATATTTGCCACGTGAAGATGGGTAGGCTTCAAACAGCCATCACACATTGGGATATATTTGGTCACAAAAAATTCCTTCCTGTGTGTTCCTGGGCATCATCTAAAACCAATTATTTAGTGAGTGAGCGAGTGAGTTGGGTTTAGAACCACTTTGAATAGTATTCCAGTTATGTCACGACTTGTTTGCTCAATATTGAAGAAAAGCCTGAAGTGATGTAGGTCTCAGACATTTACCACTTTCGTGAACGTATGAGTAGGGTATGGTGCTGATAAAGCTAGAAACATTATCAGGCGAACCGGGATGGGAACCAAAGATCATAGGTTTCTGGTGTACCCAAGGGATGCAACTCTGCACAGCAAATTGCAGAACCTTAGATGACTTGTACTCCAGTGTAGGTTCCAGGGCATCATAGGTCCATGATGGCCTAAGCTCTAAGGTCACATTGAAGGCTGATCATTGTTGAATGGAGCAGCTGTGACCTGGATGAGTTTGGGTGTGATCACACCTTAATGGTAGGGATGGTCATCTCCCACTGGATCATCCACTCAGGGTCTGCTCTACGGCTTGTGCGTAGTGTGTTGAACAGTCTGGCTTATAGTAGAAAGGCATTGAAGATTTACACAATGTTTGCTGTCATAACAATGTTGGGCATTTCTCATGATATGAGTACATACTTCTTTGTTAGGATTTAATGTGTCTGAATTATTCAATTATGAATGTGAATTATGTGGAATAGGCTCTTGAGATTACGATGGGAGAATAATAATCAAAACCCAGAAAGTTTGACCACATCACTCCAGTTCTAAAATAACTCCATTTCTTGCCCATTTCATCATGGATCAACTTCAAGCTACTCTCCCCTGCCTACTGATGCTGTATACCAATGAAGCTCCAACCTATCTCTCACCCCTTACCTACCAATGCGTTCGCTACGATCCAGAGACAAAATGATCATCTCATCAGCACAAGCTGTAACGACTTATGGAAAAAGATCCTTCAAATATGCAGTAATAATCATGGCCTAACACATTTACTGCATGTGTAGCGTGTGGTCTATGACAATGCAGATATCCTGATGGACAAAATGGACTTTTTTCTGATAAGAAGTTCTGAAATTTGAAATCTGACTATGTGACTGTGTACCCCATCTTCTGATGATGATAATGGTTATAAACATAATTTATAAGGAAAATTACCAGGCTTAAAAATATAGGAATTGGTTCTCAGGCAATGGCTTTTGAAAATATAGTGCAGCCGGGCGATGTTTTTTGTTGTTCAAACTACTATGTAACCAAATCTGTACTGAGGTATCCAAGTTAGTCCTGTTATTACAATATCTGGCTATAAAGGTGTTCATTGTGTATCCGGACTTACGTTTGTAATCCATTATATTACTTTTATCCAAGATTTCATTCAATTTTTTTTACCCTAGTTCCAGCAAAATTGTGTAATACCTGATCAGCAAATCACGTCAACTCACCATTAACTTGCCTTGAACCAAACATTAATCGTTAGAGATTCAAAGTCTTTGGTCACTGTCACTGTTTTGAAATTTCTTTTCAGTTGTGATATTGGCCATGACATTAGATATTCTTAAAACTAAATGACCCATAGATAGGGGAGAAAATGTGTGAACAGCACACAAACTCGTATTGCCGCCATGACCATAACATGAGATGTGCAATAAAGCACAGGCATGTAACTGCATGCTATATTCGTTGCATTGTTTTTAAGTATTGTAGGCTTTCATTGCTGGGGTCGTGTATTTGAGACATGGAATATCTAAGGATTTTTTTTTTGAAAATGGAAATAGCACGAAACGTACGGCAGACTTTATGATGATGGCGGTGCCTGAGAACCAAGACTATTATTTTTGTTAGCTCAATATGCTGACACAATATTACTCTGGAGGTATCAGGTTGGCTTTGGTGATGGTGTAAAACCTTGTCCCTCTCACTGTTTCAACATTCTCTGTGTATACTGACCAGTGTGTTTGGTGGCAGGAGTGGGGTACGATGCTAACCTGGGAAGCGATGGAGAGGAGGGTGACTCCGACGGATCGGAACTCAACCTGCATCTTACACCAGATGAGGTATGGCTCCACTCGCATACATACAATGTCCATACCAGTCTTTGAATTTAAGGAGGTCCTACAGGTTTTCAGCATTAGTTCAGTGTAGTGACCCTCTCAATCTCTCAATATTTTAAAGGACCTCTTGCCTTTTGTTCTAATTTTCAACAACTTACAGAACCACAAATCGTACAAAAATTGAAGTTTAGTAAATCTGGTAATTTCACATGAAATTAATTTTGTGTCTTTCGTGTCATTAATCATCTCAAATTACCATCACATTTGAATATTTTGATTTTCATTACTGGGCAAGAGAAGATATTCCTTGACTCTTAGTTATCAATAGTTATCTCCCTTATTCTATTGCATGCCCAATATGCTGTATGTCTGTTGAGACGGGTCTTGTTTGAGGTGGACAAACATGTGGGCAAGTAAACAATATAGATGTCCGGACACAAGGTGTCAGATACTGGTCATATCATAATACTCCAAAACTGAGTAAACAATATAGATGTCTGGACACAAGGTGTCAGATACTGGTCATATCATAATACTCCAAAACTGAGTAAACAATATAGATGTCCGGACACAAGGTGTGAGATACTGGTCATATCATAATACTCCAAAACTGAGTAAACAATATAGATGTCCGGACACAAGGTGTCAGATACTGGTCATATCATAATACTCCAAAACTGAGTAAACAATATAGATGTCCGGACACAAGGTGTCAGATACTGGTCATATCATAATACTCCAAAACTGAGTAAACAATATAGATGTCCGGACACAAGGTGTCAGATACTGGTCATATCATAATACTCCAAAACTGAGTAAACAATATAGATGTCCGGACACAAGGTGTCAGATACTGGTCATATCATAATACTCCAAAACTGAGTAAACAATATAGATGTCCGGACACAAGGTGTGAGATACTGGTCATATCATAATACTCCAAAACTGAGTAAACAATATAGATGTCCGGACACAAGGTGTGAGATACTGGTCATATCATAATACTCCAAAACTGAGTAAACAATATAGATGTCCGGACACAAGGTGTCAGATACTGGTCATATCATAATACTCCAAAACTGAGTAAACAATATAGATGTCCGGACACAAGGTGTCAGATACTGGTCATATCATAATACTCCAAAACTGAGTAAACAATATAGATGTCTGGACACAAGGTGTGAGATACTGGTCATATCATAATACTCCAAAACTGAGTAAACAATATTGACATCATTTCTGTTTATACATGACAAGAAATATTGCTGATTCAGATCAGAAATTGAGATCACGTGAGAGGTTTAATCACATAGATGATCGATAAAAGTGTTAGAACTGGCGCCCAAGAGTCAAACATTGTCAGCCACTTATGAGTACAGACAGTCAGACAGATTTATTTGTATAAAAGCCAACTGACCCATTGTACATTTGCAAAATATACATTTTTATCTAAGAGTTACCAAATTGATACCGTCTTTTGTTGAGAACACGTAAATTTTGCAAAATTTATGCTTGTATCATTGTTGGATAATTGACAGAGTGTTTCCATACAAAATTAATGATGGTTAACTGTCTTAGGGATAAACATTTTCTCCGATTTGCATAAAGAAAACAATTTTATATAACATTGTGTTATGTGTGTACTCAGGTTAGAATAGGTCCCCAGGACTCTGTTCCATGTGTGATCAGGCTAATTGACTTGATAATGGATAATGGATCATCATGTCCTGACACTGTTGAATGGTGCTCATAATATCAACCACTGGTTTGTCTTGCTGAGATGTGATTATGTATACATCACCGTGATGTACTTGAACAGCTTGAATGCTGTCTGTGACATAAACATAAGAAAACACATATTGAGAATGTAAAGGTATTGTTCTGGTTGTAAATGCATGTATGGGTAGCTGGTATTTAGGCCACCGTGGTATTTTTTCAGGACCTGCGCAGCACCAACCAGTATGTGAAGGCGGAGATGGAGGCACTGGAGGGGGAACAGCGCCAGATAGACAAGCAGGCTGCCCAGCTGGAGAAGTCACTCCGCAAAGTCATGGAGAAAGGTGAGATAGTCCACCCTGGAGTCACTCCAGTCATACCAACATGGAGCAGAGATTGTGTGTGAGGAGTGACTGAGTGTAGGCCGAGTTGGGACAGCAAGCTAGAGAGTACTGCACTTTACTAGCTGCATATTCCAGCATTTCCATTTTCACTGCATTCTTATTCTAAACAAATATGTACACATCATATATGACTTATGACATTAGATGGGTTTCATTTTATAAGATGTATATGTTTGATGTTTAATGTGTTGGATGCTATGAGATGTGTTGGATGCAATGAGATGTGTGTTATTATTCAAGGTGTGTTGTGTAATGCTAGGTACATTATTTGAGACTCTATGGTACTGGATATATTTATTTTTTGTTGTATTCCAGGGAAGAACAAGTCCCTGGAAGAGAGGTTAATGCAGGACTGGTTTCTCCTTGTTAACAAGAAGAACGCCCTTATCCGCAGGCAGATGCAACTCAATATACTGTGAGTGTTCCAACTGTTGTCCTTCTCTTGCTTGGCACCCCCTGTAGACTACAGGACTGCTCCCCACACTTGTAGGGTGCTGGTGAAAGAATGAGTGAGTCACCATCTTTCAAGCTATCTATTGGTAACTGGATTTTTTTTGCAGTTTCAAACACAATTTATTATTGCGCAATGTGGTATTAAAACATTTGTTACCCATGTGGTGAGATACTAAACCTGCATGTGTGTTATGCAGAGAGACCTTGTTTCATCTGTTTTGGTTGGATGACCCAAACCCTCTATTCAACCAAACAAACATTCACACTTTCCGCTACTTGAATGGTGGACAAAGTTTGCTATGCATTCTAAATTGGTTTCGGTTTAAAAAAGACCAAGTACATACATTATTGCTCTATCCATTTATGTCCATAGATGTACAGACACAGTTCTTGATCTCATGACTTTGTTATGCTACTTGTGATTTTCAGTATGATTTATCTTACAAATTCAGTATCAGGTTTCATTTTCATCTGTTATGTCAACTGAAATTGTCATTTATTTACATTTATGTGTATATTTAATGTGGGTAAATAGTAACAGTGTTTTGTTTAAATAGCAAATATTGAGAACAAGTGTACTCACTCATTCGCCCTGACAACATTGTTGCACAAATACATTAAACAAACTTAGTCTTTGCCCACAGCTAGTAATCAACTGTTTTGGCAAAGTAGAACACTTTCCTTACCTCAAGTGGAAGGACCTGATTTAGTTTGTATTGAGTAACAACAAACTACCCCAAATAACATTGTTCAAGTGTCCCACAGAATATATTTAGCATGCGTCAGATTGCTGCCCTGAGTGGGCGAGTGTCCTAGAGAGAAACCAACGGGCCACAAGGAATTATGGATTATCTGTCCCGAGTGAATGAGTAGTGTTAATCCCGAAGGTCTTACAAGCATTCATTCCTGAGGGACAGATAATCAGTCATTTCAAGTTTTTAGTAGGTTAATCTGCATATTACTCTGTGATGTTTTAAGAGACTAAATGAAGAAAAACATATTAAATGTCAACCCTACCAATAACATCACTGCACGCAGCCTACTGATCAGATGAAGTCATGTGATCAAGTTGGGATGTCATTAATAATGGGTTACATCATATCATACTTTTCTCAACAAAGAAGCACTTTGATATATTATGGCTTGAGTTGACCAATCAGCATTGAGTATCCCTAAAATGAACATGTGCAAGTATTGGAAAGTTATAACACACAATCATTTTATCCCTATGGGTAATGTTTTCTTTATACCTATTTTTATTATGAGGGTGTCTAAATACATGCATTACAAAACATTTTTTTATGATATTAACTTATTGCTACTTTTGATTTATTGTATGAAGGTAATAAGCTAATTACAATTCAAGTGAGTGAGTGAGTGAGTTGGGTTTAACGCCGCTTTAACAGTATTCCAGTCATATTGCAGCATGTCAGCTTAATGTGGGAGGAAAGCCTGAAGTGATGCAGGTCTCAGACGTTTACCACTTCGGTGAAACCCACGAGCATGGGTATGGTGCTGACAAACCTAGAAACATAATCGGGTTGAACCGGGATTCGAACCCACAATCAGAGGTTTCTGGCATGCCCAAGGGGCGCAACTCTACACAGCAAATCGCGGCGCCTTAGACGACTGTGCCCCCTACAATTCAAGATAAACATAACCTTTTTGTTTATTATTTTAACACAAAGCAAATATTAAGGGTTAGATGATTGTCAAAGTTTGTTTGTTTGTGGTTTTATGCCGTACTCAGCAATATAACAGCTATATGACGGGGGTCTGTAAATAATCAAGTGATTGACATCATGAGCATCGGTCCACGCAAATGGGATATGATGATATGCATCAACCAAGTCAGCGAGTCTGACCACCCAATCCCGTTAGTCACCTGTTACGGCAAGCATGGGTTGCTGAAGATCTATTCTAACCCAGATCCTCACAGGTAGAAATCTAGATTTGCCAAATATTTTAATATCTTTATTTATTGGGTCTATGATACAGAATATGTTTTCTTTTGTGTTCTTGTATGTTTCTTTTCATCAATTAAATGGTCAGGCTCAGAGGTTGAGTGATATCTATGGTTTTTAAAACTTGTAACAGCATATGGAAAAGTTGACCCTGTTAACCCGTAACTAGTTACATTATCTCCATAAACAAAGCTTTACAGGTTTACAAATCATGGGACAGAGTTATCTCCCTTTGACTAAGAACCCATTCACAACAGCAATGTCCAGATTGTGGGTTTCCTGATACAGGTGTCCAGACTTTGCGACATATTTGTATTTGGTACCTTCAGAACTGATATTTCTTTGTTATCATTACAGGTAGAGTGACAATAGTTTATTGGGATATAACTGTTTTTACAGCCCTTTTCCCCCTGATGGACTGGGAGCCCGAATTACTAATTTCAAGGGTCATTCCTGAAAATAAAAGGGTTCTGTAGAGTAATGAAATGCGTTAGTGTACTGTACTGTAAGATTTAATAATTACTTTATTTACAAGAACTTTATAATTCTTGTCAAGAATTTGATGCAATCAATGTTATTGTGCGTCCCTCAGGACATACCGGTAATATTTGTGTGTACTGGATGCACATTTTTGCGACACGTAAAACCCTTGATCTGGCAGTGATAAACATGGAGTCGTCAGTTATTTAAACTGAAGGTATCAGTTTGTGACAGTAGCTTTTATTTCTAAAATATTAAAGTTTTTACCAATGTCATCTCAGCGTGGCCCTTAATCCCTGTGATTATCACTGTGCCTCCTTAAAAAAGATTCTACAGCTGGTCACTGTCTTTGTTCATCTCGTTCACTATAAGCTGAAATACTGCCCAAGTGATTTTAAGTATTAACTCACTCACCCTCTTTTCTAATCTCCATAATGCAATATCTCATTCTTTACTGAAAGTGCAACCATTATTGATATACTGGTTCCTGGCATTACTTGTGCTGCATCACCTTTACAGGTGTACAGGTGAAAATAAACTAATAAGCCTTGATATCTGATCCTGCACCTCAAGTAAATATGTTGGTGAAATCTTGCGAAGCACCCATAAAACTTCAACACCTTCCACTTCAACATCTCAAACGCTAGAAAGTTAATGATCTTTCAGCAGTTTTTCTAAACGCAATTTGTCAACTCATGTTGGCGAGTAACAAAGCCAAAGGATTCATTTGGCTGTGTTTTTTATGAATTTGAATAGAAACTCATTATTCTATGGAGGTATCTAGCGGTGGTGTGTTTGGAACAGTTACCAAGTCAAGGTGGTATAGAAGTAGTTACAGAGTTATCTCCCATGGACCTTCAGTTTCAGACAGGTGCGTCTATTCAAGGCTTGAGATGTACGTCCAGTGAGAAACTGTGAAGGATGTGTCACTATGTTATAGAGCCAACAGCTGTGTAATATGTATTTTATGTATTTTATTCTTTGTATTAATGTGGAAATAGATTTTAATGTAGCTTACAAATATCTTTTTTGTTACAGCTTAGAAAGTATGAGAATGTTATCTCTGATAACTTTGTTGGGAGGCTTTGCAGTATAATAGGAGAGTTTAGTTGTATTTAATGAATTTTACAAAAATCAAATCAAATCAAAGACACTGGAATAACAGCTGTGTGAAATTTCCTTGTTGATGGGAAGTCATTATTTAGGAGATACAAAACTTGTTTCACCAACTCAATAGATACCAAGTACCTGTTTCATTATTGTTTGGATTAAGTTCTTTAAGATAAGATTTTAATTGTCTATTTATTTTTAATTCTTGCACTATTTTAAGGAAATAAAACAAGTTTAGTTATTATGTGGCTGTGAATCTTCTTATACAAGTATTAGTTCAAGGCTTTTCAAGATAGAGCTTTATGGAGATGATCATCTAAGCTTCTATGCATAACTCCTCACAAAGCTGTAAATTGTCACCTTCACGATATCTGTCATGAATATGTAATGAGGGTATATTATGAAAAACAAAAAAGAAGTTTGATAGGCTGTGCTGAAAAAATTGTTTCTCATTCAGTTGAACATCTATCACTGAGAAATTGTTCAGTGTTGGCTTGAAAGGGTACATTCACTAGGTTAATAGGTGTTGTGTGGATGGTAGTATGTGTTGTCTTTTGGGTAGTATGTGTTGTGTGGATAGTAGTATGTTTTCTTTGTTTGTCCTTCAAACTTTATGGCCAGTAGTGACATTGATATTTTTGTTTGCACAAATGCGGTAACAGGGTTGACATACACTGGAAAATCGCTGCAAAATATGTTTTTGTCTCACAATCTAGTTTGTTTTTTTTTCTTTTAGCAAATCTTTTTTTAAATTTGTTTGTTTGGGTATGTGACCAACCAAAGCCAAAACTTACCTTTAGAAATAAAATGAATCTAGCTTCATTTGTTTTATTCAAACTGCCCAATCATTGATGGACAAGAACATTTTTAAAATGAAAACTTCAAAAATCAAACACAAATTAACTTAACTGTTTTAATTATAATCGATCAAATGCATTGTATGTAGTCACTAGCTAGTGCATAGACTGAAAATAGAACAAAGTGTTCTGAGAACAAAATTAAATATTGACATGTTACTGTATACAGAGATTAAGCGTTGTTTTTTTCACTGGATACAACCTAACAACCTCAGGTAAAAGAACAAAGAAAATATTGATATGCACACACACACACACAAATTAATATAAAAAGAGTAGCCTGAGCTGCTGATAGAAACCATCTTGAACCATCTTGTGACAGAAACCAAGTCATATTGTATCATTCAGGAGGGGTGAATAAAGTAACACCCTACTGCTGTGTTTACCTATGGGAATAAGTTGTGGGCTTTTGTTAACATTTCTTTGCTAATTTGTTTTTGTTAACCCCTATTTGATTCCTGCACTATTTCCTTGTGGAGCCTTTATTTATCTTTTGATTTGAGGATGGCAAGAGTTTTGATCTTATTAACATGATTAACACTCCATGCTAG